CGAGCTTTGCCTTGAACAGGTTCGAAACAAAATAAAACACGATTTGGTACCGAAAGTATCGCCAGCGTAGCGTAAAAGTAGGCTAAATATTCAAGCTCGTGATCTTCTCAGAAATCCTTTTATCAGCATCACGCATATTTTGAACATCTCTGGTATGTGTTCGAGAAGCTTACCAACTGCAGCCATTCTCCATTAAATTAGACAGCGTGTCTAGGGAATTAGACATGATTAAAGTTTATCTGTGGGACCCAATCGATCGCAAAGCTGAAAGATTCGAGATTGTGACGGAAAAAATAAAAGTAAGTCACAAATCGATTTCGGACACACGTGAAACTGTAAATATTGAAAAAAAGGTTTGCTTCTGGAACGCAAACAAAGGGCATTTTTGAAAAATTTGAGCTCGGGTATGCGCATGGCCGAGTAAAAGATAGGGCCCCCCAGGTTTCAAAACGCTCCGCTGCCTCTCACTTTACTTCCATTTATGTTCATCCACAGACCTCATTGAAGACAGTCATAGGGGTCATCGATTGCGTCTCCTTTAATAATAATAATAATAATAATAATAATAATAATAATAATAACAATAATAATACTACTAATAATAATAATAATACTAATAATAACAATAATAAACAGTTGAACGTGAAGAAACACTTAGCTAGAGGCTAGTTTATAGGTTTTCCACCAAACAACTGAAACAAATAATTCAAATTAAAAATAACATTATTAAGAATCCCAACTGGCCGAAGGCAAACCAGTTGGCTATATACAAGCATGGCCGAGGATTCGAAACTCGGCCAAGTCACTATCGGAACACAAGTTTTTTTTTTTGGAATAGGTCATGCTGTTTACCTCCCACACGTACCCAAGTTTCAGTTATACATTTTACCGACGTGTTTTGATCCTACAATCTAGAAGAATCGGAGATAACATAAACACACCATAACAACCAATTTCACGTTGTGTTTTCTCATTTTTTATATGATTTTTTTTGTCTTTATTTTAGATCGAAACTGCAGTTAATTTTTATTTATTTATTTTTTTAATTTTATTTTGTTCCTGTTGTTCTAGAAGTCACTTATATCATGTCCAGCAGACAAACAGACGCTGTCTATTTCTTTTCATTCTTTGTCATGCTAATCAAAAACCATTCCTTTGTTTTTAGTTCTGTTAACTTGTATGCGCGCAGTTCATTCTGAAGTCAGTTTGTGATGAACATTTCGATGAAAGGCTGTTTAATCTTAACGAATAAGGGTAACTCCAATCTTATCATAGGTCTAAATATTAAAAAGCTCTCAACTAGGATTCAGGGTTAAGGCAAAACGTAAGAGGCTTCTAAGGCAGTACAATGTGAACAATGGAGTAAAAAAGGACCAGAAAGCTGCGTCTGACTGGTTGGGTATAGAGCAATTTGCAATGTAGTGTCGGGAGTAATATGGGATTGCTCTAGTTCACCTTTACTTTTCTCTGTGATTGGTCCAGAAACCTCGTGCCATCTTCTTAACCAATCAGATGCAATACTAAAGGCAATTGCGTCAAATTTCTCAAATTTCTGAAAATAACGGAAGTGGCCGGAGTAAGGAAACTTTATTTACCTACCGTGTTCAGTTGAACGGCATTTTACAAGGCTGATCAGCTTCATTAAGTCGCCCATGTACAATTTCTATCAGATAATTGCTTGTCCACAAAGCTAAAGGCACAGCATTTACTACCCCTACCAAAACGTGTCTCTTCCATCTTTTTCGCCAAACAGCCATGACAGCAATGTTCTGATAGTGAGTCTC